CGTGCATTTTTCATACTGACTGCAAACACGGGTCAACTTTATCTCAAAACTAAACAATTTCAGTCTTAAAGGTTACTTCGAATACCGTAATATCTTTATCTAAAAGTTCGCAATGGTGCTTACTTTGTAGAAACTTTGTAGCGGGCGTAACATTAGATGAAGTATTGCCGAAACGTGGAAAACTGTCTTACTTCCGAACAAAGAGAGCGATTCCGACCTTCTCTCGTCCCGTCATCATTTAGTTCCCCAAATAACGGCTAGATGAAAGCGCGTCAACCACGAATAAACAGACGTCCCGTCTTATCCCATGGCCCCATCTTGCACCACATTCTCCTATATAGGCTATAATCTAAACAGGACAGAAAACTTTTACAGGAATAATCTGAATTAAAGTATATGCTCAAAATGATAGTTGAGTTGATAAAAAATATATTGGCGAGGAATATATAACACGGTAGAAGGTCGTGATCTACGTACAGTTTCGTCGTGTCTGCGTTGTTTTTAATAATACATCGTTTGTCTTTTTAATAAAGTGGCAAGTTTTTAATCTTGAAATAGTCTGAAATTTAAAATAATTTTGAAATAAATGAAACTTGTTGAAACGACTTTAATTATTTGAAACTAACGTAACTTTTCGAAGATGATAGAAAGTGTGGTAAATGAAGAGGGAAATAATCAGATTTTGCAAGTTTAACGACACCCCTATTATTAAAGGATTATTCCTTGCATATACGTTCGTGTTAACAGTTATTAATGAATACATACAAACATATATTATATCTGTATCTGTGTAATACGTGTAAATAAAGTAACATCTAAAAGTGCTTAAAATTGTCTTTTACATATGATATAATCAACTATATAATATCATGAAAGAATATTATGCAATTACTTACATTATTTTATTGTCCATTATTAGTATAACACTATTAATATGCCTTGCTTGCAGGTATTAAATTCTAGATCACTGTTTCTCAAAGTTGTTCCTACGAACTCCCAGGAATTCTTGAAACCACTGATGGGGTTGGGGACAAATTAAAATTAATTTGGGGGTGCGTGGACAACGTCAGGGGATCTACCAAAGGTTTAATAGAAAATAGAACTCATTTTTATTATTATGAAAGTTAAAAATAAATAGTAATAAATAAATTGGTAATCATTTTGACGTTCTGTAAATGTTTGTTCTAGATTAAAGTTATTGCTGGAAATGTACTGTACGAATGACGCGTATCGTTTTTCATTTTACCATAAAATGTCAGGTTATTTATCCAGAAAACTTATATTATATAATACATTTATTTAATATTTTTCCAAAACAGTGATAATTATTAGTTGTTTTTCATAATTATAAAGACTGTTCAATAACTAAAAATATATAAATAATTTATTTATTTTAATAAAAATATGTTTTTCTCTAAAAATTCAATAGATAAAATTTAAAAAAAGCTTATTAATTTTATATTTTTGTAATGTAATTTATAATCCAATTACAAATGAATTATATATTTTTTCCGTTGTCATTACATCATATCTGTTTTTTAAAAACGAGCAAGCTTTAGCTCGTAATTTCAATAAATATTACTTTAAAAATTAAATGTTTTATTTATATTTAATTTTTACGTCATTATTTAAGAAATCAAAGTTAAATTTTAAATTTTGCCATTATGTAGTGGTACACAGTTGTTCACTTGGAGTTTATATTCAAGTTTTCGCTATGAGAAGGGGTCCGTAGGCATAATATGTTTGAAAACCATTGTTTTACACAATGAAGTGTTTACTGATGTAATAGTCTCTATTTTAAGAAGCATTAATGACTTTACATCCGAAATGGGAAGTTGCATTCACTTGGTTTTAATCTTCTCATGATATAATTTATGCATTTCTAAGAGAACAAATAATTATCCTATATGTCTTAGAAATGCACTTCGATTAATGAATAAAACAACAACAATATTTTACCATTACAGCGATTTCTAAAGCACTTAATTACGTCAATTTAGAAAGCGTACCAATTCATTGCATTGTTTGCTAATTAAAGTGAAGTATCGTAGATTTAAATCAACTTGCGTAGATTATTAATTAGTGCTGCTATGATTTCAGGCACTTATTAGTTTCATAAATTAAAGTTATGCAATTACACTTATGAGAAGTAATTAAAATCGCTTAAATTAAGACAAGGCTTATATAAAAGAGTATGAATATAGCAAAGCGCAATTCATAGTTCTTAGGAAACTGAATAATAACCTCAACGGACTTCATCCACTCGGCAATTTTTGTCTGCAATAATTCTTCTAATAAACAAGAATAATCGTTTCTACATAGAAAAGATTATTATAAATATCTGAATAGAACAAAATGCAAACTTCACCACTTATTACAACTACATTTGTAACTTTTGAATACGAAATATGTCTGCAATGTTTTCTGTCATCGTTCACTTCTATGTCAAAGATTTACGGGTGGAACTTTTTCAATCCATGTTCGTGCGTTACAAGAAACTACAGTTATTTGCACAAACTTCTGAAGAAATTTTACTTATTCTGTATCGAGTGCATACACTGGATACATTTCGTTCTTAGCTTTTGTATACTGGTGCCTTTACATTCAAATAAAACGCCGTGCATCTCATGGTACTCGATCGTTAACAATGATATCTTTGCCAAAGTAGGCGTCGTTACTTTTACCTTCGTGTTTGCCGTAATATTTAGTATTGTTAAAAGAGTAAAATTAAATACAAAAATAAAACTAAGAAATTCAAATTACCTCTGCCAAAATAAGCTGTTTTCTATCATTAATTACACACGAATAGCCACAGTGATTATGACAATAATTATCACATTATGGCTTCAGTTTTTGAAAACGTATTTTTCTTTTATCACGATTTAAAAAAAAGAGAATTGTTCAAATTCGAAGCACTTTTCTGTAGCATCGAAGCTGGAATATGGATGACATTGATGAGTGGCGGTTTGGTATACCTCTGTTTCTTTCTTTTCTTGCTTGCAGTTAGTTTAACAAAAGCATTTCAGAAAGTATCGGAAGAACTGTACTTACTAAGAAAGGATAATCCAAATTTNGTGCATATAATGCACATATTGACGATTTTATTTTTGATGATAATTCCAAGAGGATAAATGAGAGTTGAATATCATCTGGGAATATGAACTAACTGTGCTTAAGATTTTGATAACATTTGTAATTAAATAATCTTTGTAACATTTGCACCTATTACATTTGCAATCAATTTTGCAGCAGCATGGAACAGAAGTCTTCAGCAGCAGCGGTCTTCAACCAAGAACTAAGCATATTTTCTACATCTTGATTATATCTTTCTACTGAGCCTTGGCTTCCAGAAATTGATGACATTCTTGCACATTCTCTAAGCGAAACTTTTGCACCCGTTACATCTCCAATAGAAATGAAATTTTCTTTACAAACAGTAAAATGGTTTCTAGAATATAATAGATTTAATTAATATGCCATGTTTGGTACCCAGTTTGTAAAGGTTTTCATCTTCAACCGCAACGACACCTAAAATATTGTTTCCATCACTGCGGTCTCGATCTACGTCTGGTACAGTACATGAACCCTTAATGTATCACCAACATTAGCTGCTGTGTATTTGGAGTTCAATATACCAATTATTTTTTCTGCTTGCTTTTTAATATTAAACAAAGCCATTTCCCTTGTTTTAAACACACTACTTATTTTTCTTCTATTCTTGGATTAACTGTTTGGGCTTTTTTTCGTAATTCACAAACTCTGTTATACTAATAACATCTTGGTGTTTGGAAATCAGCGTGGTTAAATCTTTTTCATGTGAAGACGATGTAGATCTTTAAGTTATATTGCTATATGAGGATGGCATTATCAAATAATCTTTTATAATGTTTTCTTAGAAGGTGCCTGATTTTTCAGAGTTTGAGCATCTTTGACTTACTTCGTCGATAGTTTTAGAAAGAGTCTCTAGATTTTCTTCCGTATTAACGTTGGTCGACGAATCGTTGGATATAAAAGTCTTTAGTTCAACTTTTAACATTGCTCCAAACGTGGCTTCATAGGAACTGCACTTTATTCCAGTATGGTGCGCTCTATTTTTCATCAGTTGTAAAAAACGATATTCTTTCCACCATTTGTTAGTATTGTTAGTCTTGAACCAAGAACTAGGCATATTTTCTACGTTTTGATTATATCTGTCTACTGAGCCCTAGGCCTAGTTACTTTCTACTGAGCCTAGTTATTGCCTAGGCTTTTTCAGAACCCCTTTTAAATCAGGCCACATACTACACATTTTTTTGATGGCATTATTCTATTCGCGAATTTTCTACCGTTATCACTTTGTAAAATACTCGGTGCACTGAAGATTATAAAAATGTCTAAAAGAACATATATTGCACCGTCAGCCCTTTTGGTTTTTAATTAACGCTAGTAGTTTAACGAATTGACTCACATAGTGTTGATACAGGAGTATAAATTTATATTGTTCATCGGCTTGCCACTGCATATCTGTAAGATCGACCTGACATCGCAAGTTTATTTCATTACATAAAATGGTTTAACTCCCAAGCCTTTCTTAAAAACATTCTGTTTTTTCTGACAGATTTTACATAAGTTAAATAAATTATGATCAATTCCCTTATTATTCGTGACCGTTACTTTTATCAAAGAAAGAAAACATTATTTTAAGAGAGGAAAGCAAAATTAAAATGTCGCACAAGATTACCTATTGGTGGCATAAATTTAAAATTCGGTACTAAACGCAATACGCACGCCAATCTCTGATGCGAGTGCTGATTGCCTACTGTATGTTAAATGATAACCATTCAACGTGTTATCATCACTTTGCCCGACTAGGTGATAGCAGTATTCATAATGACCGGTCAATCTGATAAATTATGTTAAAACACCTAAAATTTATTAGTGCTCGATTTTGTTTGTCATTATTTATAATGCCCGTATTAATCACTTAGTCCATAACAATAATAAATTAAACTACTAAAAACAATACAACAAAAACAATTATTATTAATTAATCCAACAATAAAATTAATAAATAAGTGAAAATTGCAACTGAGCAAATTATAATTCACAGAAAATGCCAACTTCCACTACGGAAGATGATTATGTGTTTCTCAAAAATATGGAGGGTGATCAAATACGTGTATTAATCTCTGATTTGAGAAACCGTTGTCCCTTATTTGATTTGTATTTTTCAATAGATCCTCTCGTAAAACATTATGCCATATACTTACCAGTCTCAAGGCAGGTATTATTAGCATTAAAAAGGTATGTTTTTTTCTTTATCCATCGATCAATTATATATTTTCATTCGTACATTATATATTATTAGATAGTGCTGAATTAGTGCCGTAAGACTTTTAAAGTGTGCATCTTATTATATTTTTAAACTCTATATTTTATTTTCTATAGCTTTTTACCCAGGGGATACATGCCATTTATGTCGGTAACTGTTGCGATGAAAACGTATCGGTTTAGCAATGTCTACAAAATAAACAATCTGAAGGAAGTTTGTAGAAATTATATCAGGTCAGAAATAAGTGTTGAAGATGTGTGTTCGGTCCATGATTTTGCGTGTGAACAGAACGACAGACTTATACAATACGAATGCTGGATATTTTTCGATCGCCATTGGGATGAAATATTTCGTACTCAGGATTTTTTACAATCCAAAGAAACAACAATTATGAGATTTCTTTCGCGTTCCATATATGATTCATTAAATGAAGTAAGTCTGTTTGAAGCTTTTTATAGTTGGATGAAAGAGAGAGTTACGAGAGAATCTCCTGACTTAGAAAACAGAGAATTGGAAGAAAAAATCCGTACAGAGATACGACCGTTTCTTTCGAAAATTAGGTTTCGTGCCATGACAATAGATGAGGCAGAAACTTATGTTTTCACTAAACACGTCTTGACAGAAATCGAAGTAAATTCTATTCGTAGATGTCTCCAGAATCACACTTTCTACAACTACCCAGAGTACTTTTGCCCGTATGCGGACGAAAGAACTGAAAAAATGTATGATGCGTTGTTTACATATCAAAACCAGTTTAATCCTAACAATGAATTAGAAACCACAATCGATGTAAACACCCGGTTCAAATGCGAAATATTTGTGAGAGAAGATTGCTATATAACAAGTTTTACGCTTCCAATAACATTTGATCATTTACGAAGGATAAGAATAATGCTAGATGGCAATTCGAATTCACCGAAAAATAACATTCCCCGGGATACTTTCGACTGTAGTTATCACGGAAACGTCAATTTATCAAAACCTATATTTCTAATAAAGAATTCAACTACTTTTCTACAATTTCAAATTTTAAACAGTGATGACATCACGCGTTACGACATACGTATTACCCCGCCATTTAATTATTTCTACATCGCAAACAATAGTGACATTCAACCAGAAGACATCGATCCTGGTAATAATTACTACTTTGAAGTTGTCCTCTACTTCTAAAAATTGTAAACTGAATTCACAAAATTTTAACGAAACAACGCAAATTAAAATAACATTTTATTAGATACTTTCATCAGATCGGTTGCTTTTGATATTACCTACTGACTATGACAGTGGTATTTAATCGAAGTTTGGTCAAAGTGTATAAGTCGTAAGTAGGTGAGTCACAAATATTTTGTATGTTTCAAATATACAAATAGTGGACGTATTTCTATCATTTATAAGTTTCACGTTAGGCTTCGGACCTGTGGGTGGTCCGAATTTAGTCCGAGGCCATAGTTTGTGCACCCCCTACTCTAGGATTTCAATTAAAATCAAGAAGTGATTATATATTAATTCAAAGATATTTAATACGAACAGATTTCTACTAAACCTTGATGATTGTCTGCATTTGGAAACAATCATTATGAGTTTATTCATAATGCGCGATATATTTATTTTCTCAAGAATTTACAAGTGTAATTAATGATATTTCTCTTACAACTAATAAGATAAATATACCTAGGTTTAAAGCAACCTTAGAACATGCATATTTTAATGCAATTCCTTTAATTCATACTTTAATTCTAAATTAGTTATAAAATAACTATCGAAAGAATAAGAGAAATAAAACAATTTGTGTTGCAATTTGAAAAAAATTATAGATTTGTAAATTTTCACTGTCGCCTGTCTTCTCTTAACCTGGAGAAAGAAGTTAGGAAAATGTAAGACGAGACAAGTCATGAAAACTGTAGGAGTGATAGGCCCCGATTACCTATATAGCAACTTCGAATGCAAATCGAAAATTATGTTATTTCAATTGAAAATTCCCCCAAAAGGTGTTAGATATATAACCGACCGGCACGACTATATTCTTAGAGGAAAAGTATGATGTTCTGGGGCAAGCCATTACTAATTTATGATGGCGAGCATATATTTTAAATAAAATTAATTAAAAATATGATTAAAAATTGCAATCTGGCATTGTGATATTTATTTATTGTGATTGTGATTGTGAATTATTTATTGTGACGATGTCACAATAAATAATTGCTTGACTTCTGTAAGAATTTCAGTCTAGGAAACAATCGGATGTAATCCGGTTTTGTTTTCAACCAATTACTAATTAATTATCTTTAAAATATACTGGTATTTTATTAGCTCCTTTGGGTATTAATTTCCTGTTAATTTATCATTGGCTTGTTTTGTTCATGCATGTTTTTAATTTCAATGTAAACAGCTGTAATAGCAACATGAAGTATGACGATGGTGATATAACTTCGTGTGTGCTCTAGATGGCAGGGATGAAATTCAATTTGCAATAACCTGGCTTTTTAGGAGTAATGGTTCGGCTTATACCCCGAAGTTTACTAGGTAATGAGTTGGCTTTGTGTGACGGCTATCAAATTCATTCGAATCAATTGAAACCTCTGTTTTTGTTTTTCAGATCAACTCTATGCCGAACGAGTGCTTAAACCAAACAATACACAAGGACGAAGCAATCGATGCATCCGATCGCTTTGTTCTTGGATCGCCTCTTCGTGTGGCCACTACTGCAAGGTTTTTTGTCGTGCCAGAAAGTGCGAGGATGTTAATGTGTTCATCCTTTTTGAAGCTTAATAACTGCTGTGCTTTTTGTCGAAAATTTCTGGAATTATATAGGCAGGTTTGCATATTACTGTGATTGATGATATTAAATTTTGGTAATTAAAGATCAGGGTATTAGAAGAGGTCATATTTCGAGTAGGATGATCGGACTTAATGAAATTTTTATAAAACATCCCAGAAGGCCGAAACAAACATCTTATTACTATTATTTAATTACAAATAAATAAACAAATAAATAAAAATGACAGTTAATAAACTCTGCACTAATGACTTTAACACAATTGTAAATACGCACTTACACAATTATAGTAGGGGAAGGTGGGGCAGAATGAGGACGTTAAAGTTTGAAAAGTCATAAGATGGCAACCACTTTAATGAGAACAATAATTTTTTTTTATTCTCGGCAACTCCAACATTTGGTAATATATAATACAAAATTTAATTTATGATGAACGTTTTTAAAAGCAAGAAAATTTAATATTTTAAAATTATACGTAAACGCCATCTTGCCCCACCCGTAAGGTAAGATGGAGATATTATTTTTATATACAAGGAGAAATTAAAATGATTAAACTGTCATTTTCTTTAATATTGGCGCAAGAACAACGCGCCCATTTATCACAGCGGCTACATTTATTATTATTTTCCGAATAAATAAATATAAAAGTTTGAACTTACTCGTATTTACTTTACCAGACGATACTGTCACTTCGCGCATGCTCAGTTTCGCTATTTTGTAAACAGACGATACACTATTTTCTTTTCGTGAAAAAAAAATTTTATTTCGATTGTTATCTCACATTTTATTTCTTCTTAAGATAATATTTAAATTAAAAAAATGCTTTCATAAATAAAATAAAACGTAAAAACATAAATAATAAAGTAATACAGTATATACTGTATAAATTTATTACAGTATGATATGATTTAAAAGTGGAATATTTCATTCTCTATAAAAAGATCATTTTTAAATTTATTATTTTATATATTCGAAAAATTGATATAGAATTATCAATGACAACGAATTTAAAACTAGTTCGCTGCATTATATTGCGCCAGCGACAGAATTCGTGGCCAAGCTTGGGCTGCCCCAACGTGCATTTTTCATACTGACTGCAAACACGGGTCAACTTTATCTCAAAACTAAACAATTTCAGTCTTAAAGGTTACTTCGAATACCGTAATATCTTTATCTAAAAGTTCGCAATGGTGCTTACTTTGTAGAAACTTTGTAGCGGGCGTAACATTAGATGAAGTATTGCCGAAACGTGGAAAACTGTCTTACTTCCGAACAAAGAGAGCGATTCCGACCTTCTCTCGTCCCGTCATCATTTAGTTCCCCAAATAACGGCTAGATGAAAGCGCGTCAACCACGAATAAACAGACGTCCCGTCTTATCCCATGGCCCCATCTTGCACCACATTCTCCTATATAGGCTATAATCTAAACAGGACAGAAAACTTTTACAGGAATAATCTGAATTAAAGTATATGCTCAAAATGATAGTTGAGTTGATAAAAAATATATTGGCGAGGAATATATAACACGGTAGAAGGTCGTGATCTACGTACAGTTTCGTCGTGTCTGCGTTGTTTTTAATAATACATCGTTTGTCTTTTTAATAAAGTGGCAAGTTTTTAATCTTGAAATAGTCTGAAATTTAAAATAATTTTGAAATAAATGAAACTTGTTGAAACGACTTTAATTATTTGAAACTAACGTAACTTTTCGAAGATGATAGAAAGTGTGGTAAATGAAGAGGGAAATAATCAGATTTTGCAAGTTTAACGACACCCCTATTATTAAAGGATTATTCCTTGCATATACGTTCGTGTTAACAGTTATTAATGAATACATACAAACATATATTATATCTGTATCTGTGTAATACGTGTAAATAAAGTAACATCTAAAAGTGCTTAAAATTGTCTTTTACATATGATATAATCAACTATATAATATCATGAAAGAATATTATGCAATTACTTACATTATTTTATTGTCCATTATTAGTATAACACTATTAATATGCCTTGCTTGCAGGTATTAAATTCTAGATCACTGTTTCTCAAAGTTGTTCCTACGAACTCCCAGGAATTCTTGAAACCACTGATGGGGTTGGGGACAAATTAAAATTAATTTGGGGGTGCGTGGACAACGTCAGGGGATCTACCAAAGGTTTAATAGAAAATAGAACTCATTTTTATTATTATGAAAGTTAAAAATAAATAGTAATAAATAAATTGGTAATCATTTTGACGTTCTGTAAATGTTTGTTCTAGATTAAAGTTATTGCTGGAAATGTACTGTACGAATGACGCGTATCGTTTTTCATTTTACCATAAAATGTCAGGTTATTTATCCAGAAAACTTATATTATATAATACATTTATTTAATATTTTTCCAAAACAGTGATAATTATTAGTTGTTTTTCATAATTATAAAGACTGTTCAATAACTAAAAATATATAAATAATTTATTTATTTTAATAAAAATATGTTTTTCTCTAAAAATTCAATAGATAAAATTTAAAAAAAGCTTATTAATTTTATATTTTTGTAATGTAATTTATAATCCAATTACAAATGAATTATATATTTTTTCCGTTGTCATTACATCATATCTGTTTTTTAAAAACGAGCAAGCTTTAGCTCGTAATTTCAATAAATATTACTTTAAAAATTAAATGTTTTATTTATATTTAATTTTTACGTCATTATTTAAGAAATCAAAGTTAAATTTTAAATTTTGCCATTATGTAGTGGTACACAGTTGTTCACTTGGAGTTTATATTCAAGTTTTCGCTATGAGAAGGGGTCCGTAGGCATAATATGTTTGAAAACCATTGTTTTACACAATGAAGTGTTTACTGATGTAATAGTCTCTATTTTAAGAAGCATTAATGACTTTACATCCCAAATGGGAAGTTGCATTCACTTGGTTTTAATCTTCTCATGATATAATTTATGCATTTCTAAGAGAACAAATAATTATCCTATATGTCTTAGAAATGCACTTCGATTAATGAATAAAACAACAACAATATTTTACCATTACAGCGATTTCTAAAGCACTTAATTACGTCAATTTAGAAAGCGTACCAATTCATTGCATTGTTTGCTAATTAAAGTGAAGTATCGTAGATTTAAATCAACTTGCGTAGATTATTAATTAGTGCTGCTATGATTTCAGGCACTTATTAGTTTCATAAATTAAAGTTATGCAATTACACTTATGAGAAGTAATTAAAATCGCTTAAATTAAGACAAGGCTTATATAAAAGAGTATGAATATAGCAAAGCGCAATTCATAGTTCTTAGGAAACTGAATAATAACCTCAACGGACTTCATCCACTCGGCAATTTTTGTCTGCAATAATTCTTCTAATAAACAAGAATAATCGTTTCTACATAGAAAAGATTATTATAAATATCTGAATAGAACAAAATGCAAACTTCACCACTTATTACAACTACATTTGTAACTTTTGAATACGAAATATGTCTGCAATGTTTTCTGTCATCGTTCACTTCTATGTCAAAGATTTACGGGTGGAACTTTTTCAATCCATGTTCGTGTGTTACAAGAAACTACAGTTATTTGCACAAACTTCTGAAGAGATTTTACTTATTCTGGATCGAGTGCATACACTGGATACATTTCGTTCTTAGCTTTTGTATACTGGTGCCTTTACATTCAAATAAAACGCCGTGCATCTCATGGTACTCGATCGTTAACAATGATATCTTTGCCAAAGTAGGCGTCGTTACTTTTACCTTCGTGTTTGCCGTAATATTTAGTATTGTTAAAAGAGTAAAATTAAATACAAAAATAAAACTAAGAAATTCAAATTACCTCTGCCAAAATAAGCTGTTTTCTATCATTAATTACACACGAATAGCCACAGTGATTATGACAATAATTATCACATTATGGCTTCAGTTTTTGAACGTATTTTTCTTTTATCACGATTTAAAAAAAAGAGAATTGTTCAAATTCGAAGCACTTTTCTGTAGCATCGAAGCTGGAATATGGATGACATTGATGAGTGGCGGTTTGGTATACCTCTGTTTCTTTCTTTTCTTGCTTGCAGTTAGTTTAACAAAAGCATTTCAGAAAGTATCGGAAGAACTGTACTTACTAAGAAAGGATAATCCAAATTTGGAACTTGAATTGGAAGAAATTATGGCACAACACCATGAAATTTGGACATACACCAATCAACTCAACGGACCTTTCAATTATGTATTGACGATTTTGTATGCTACTTTATTAACAGAAACGTGTCTACTTTATTTTATCTTAATTTTTTCGGAAATGAATTTTGCATTGAAAATCTTTGTTTTTTTAATTTGTGTTGTAATAAGTTTCGGCTGTATTTTAGTTGGATTTGTAATGTCTGTTTCCACGTCAAAAGTAAGAGATTTTATGAAAATAAAAACTTAATTTAATGTATACATTTGATGAAATGTTTTTGCTTTGTTTTTCTCTTTTAGATGCAAACATCCTTTCAAGATATAAGAAGATTTGCTAATTGCGATCTGAGTTTAGAACAGAAATTAAAGGTCAAATATTTTGAATCTGTTATATTTACGGATAAATTTACATAATGTCTCTGTGATTTTAATATAATAATAGCAATAAGTTATTGTGCAGATGCTGAATTTTATGAAGAGATTTGGTAAAGTGTCTCTATGCTTATCTGCTAATGATTACTTCAACGTCACCAAGAAATTTCCGATTAAGGTATATTTAAACTAATTTTATAATATTAATTGATATATTTGAAATATTTTTTTTATATTATATTGATATTTTGAAATATTTCAGATGGCGAGTTCCCTTTACTCCGTATTTTCTGGTCTTCTGAATCTGAGAACAGCTTCGAGACATAATACTCTGTAGTTGATATGTTCAATGTACCTGTTTCCAAATAAAGATATATTTCAATATAATAATTAGTAATATTTATTTAATTACATATTTTACATGCGTTGTTTATATGTATAAAAGATTTTTAGACCGTATAAATGCTGGACCTTATCCAGATATGCTTAAGAAAAAATTACTTACAAATTTAGTACAACTATAGCAGGTTATTCTTACTCTAATATACATAAATAGTTGTTTGGAGGCTAATGTATTATTAATCAGAATCGAGAAATATATACAGTTTAATCAATTAACAGCATTGCTCACATCCAGGAGGCTGTGTAATTATATTGTCATAGGACAAGTGCCAATGTCGTCGTTTACCAGCTCCATGATATTAACGCACAAGTGTTTCATTGTAGTTATTCAAGCTAATTGTACAAACATTTTTTTTTATCGAGCTACAATTTAAAAATATTTTATTCCTATAAATTTCCGCTGTCGTCTGTCCGTCTGTTCCTTAATTTCGAGAACGGAGTTGAATAGATAAAAATCGAGACCATATATGGAAAGATTAGGGAAGGACCTGATTAACTATATACGAACTTTCGATGAGTACCAGAAGTTGGTGAAGTGTAAATCCACGACAAATTGCAAGTACAGTGCTTTTATTTGCTCGGCCACGGATAAGGAAGTGTGAGCTTCCTTCTTAAACTTGAACAAGAAGATAATTATTAAAATGGGTATCACTTGTTTAATCGAAACAATTTTTCGACTGATGAAATCGAATTTATCAATAAAGTAATCCCTATAAAATTAATACGAATAACAGATTTTACAACTTATACCAGAAAATGGTAGAAGTTTTCCTTTATTCTAATGTATTTCTTGTGGTTATTGCAAACACTTGAAATTTAATTCGTCTGCAAACAATACTTAATTAAAATGGCTTTCAGTAAATGTAATTTATATTTTGATGTTAATTATGAACACAATCTTCATTTTTTCGTGTTTAAATTTTTCAAGCAAAGAAAGTTTCTGAACCCTGATATTTTCATTTGTGTCCAACACGAACACTCAAACACAATATTTAATTTACGCTTAGCAGTGTTCGTAATATGTAACACTGTAATAAGTATGGAACTGTTATACGTCGATTTCTTTCTTTATCCCTGTTTATCAACTTCACCAAAGTTTGAAATCATTTTTGTCACGTAAATTCTACGTCGTATGTTATATACCATATTGAACTTTATTGCACTTTTTTCTCGTTAACGTTATTCTGTTTGCTTTGATAAGAACTTCTTTTCAGAAATTAATCTCTTTGATAATTCAAGTTATTGAAGAAAGAAGAAACGTTCGTGATATAGAAAAAGTCATCCAGATACATTGGGAAATGTGGGAGTTTATTCAAGAATTAAATTCGAGTATAGAGCTTGTTTACCCGATCTGTTATGCATTTCTTATTTATTATACATGTTTCCTCATATCAATTGCGATTTTGTTCCACACAAATCCTATATTTCGTGTTATATTTTCGATATTCTCATTCACTTCGTTAGTTTTCTGCATTTTGGTTTATTATGAGGTTTTAAGAGTTACTTCTGTTAGTTGTTTCTGTGAAGTTTTTATCTTTTGGAGTTTTGTTTATAATTTTACGAATTGTTTTATTTTCTTGCATTGCAGATTTATAGCGATTTCAATAGATGCAATGTCTTGTCATCTGTCTCATTTCGTCTTGAATACAAATTGAGGTATTTAATTTCATCTACTTCATCTAAATTAATAATGGTATTTTAAGTTATTTTTTATTTTATATCTTAAATTTCATGAAGAGATTCCGAAGAACTCCAATTACTACTTCGATAAGGAGTAGGAAGAACGGTTATCCCTATTTTTATCAAGATGAACGAAAGGTGTGAACGTGACGTGGGTGTGGTTGTCGGTACTGAGACAGTCACCTTTACAACACAAGCCGTTTATTTGGAAAGACAATGCTTACACAATTCCAGTCGAGAATTTCTTCTCTTGAACGGATATAGAAAGTTCAGTCTGGTCACAGTCTTTTATCCACGCGATCTGACGGAGATCTGTAGGAGTTTCGATGGAAATCGGCGGACCAGGGCCAAACTGACTGGAAGTCGGCGTACGAAGATTAAGTCCAAGATGACAAGGAAACCGACACAGAGGAGGAACAGGTTAAAAAGGGAGAAGCGACCACTCTCGTCTTTGAATCTCAGGGTTTATAAAGAATTTCTCCCCGAAATTCTGAATTTGAATGTTTCCATTCTCTCTTTACCTTTTGATTGGTCTGTTTCTTGTTCCCAGGTGAAATTAGACGACCAGATTGGGCGCGGAAAAGTTCGCTTTGCGTTAGTTAATTTGAAACCTCCGTTCGACTTCATCCCCAAGTGTCGTTCGAATTTTAGAACTTTCGCTCATATCTCACGTGATGCTGTTTTCTTTTAAAATAATGTTACATTTTCTCGTTTTTTTCTAAATTTTGTCAAGTCTACGACCATTGAACTCAATGTCGGACTTTCGGATGGACATTCTAAACATTCCANTTACAGTATGATATGATTTAAAAGTGGAATATTTCATTCTCTATAAAAAGATTATTTTTAAATTTATTATTTTATATATTCGAAAAATTGATATAGAATTATCAATGACAACGAATTTAAAACTAGTTCGCTGCATTATATTGCGCCAGCGACAGAATTCGTGGCCAAGCTTGGGCTGCCCCAACGTGCATTTTTCATACTGACTGCAAACACGGGTCAACTTTATTTCAAAACTAAACAATTTCAGTCTTAAAGGTTACTTCGAATACCGTAATATCTTTATCTAAAAGTTCGCAATGGTGCTTACTTTGTAGAAACTTTGTAGCGGGCGTAACATTAGATGAAGTATTGCCGAAACGTGGAAAACTGTCTTACTTCCGAACAAAGAGAGCGATTCCGACCTTCTCTCGTCCCGTCATCATTTAGTTCCCCAAATAACGGCTAGATGAAAGCGCGTCAACCACGAATAAACAGACGTCCCGTCTTATCCCATGGCCCCATCTTGCACCACATTCTCCTATATAGGCTATAATCTAAACAGGACAGAAAACTTTTACAGGAATAATCTGAATTAAAGTATATGCTCAAAATGATAGTTGAGTTGATAAAAAATATATTGGCGAGGAATATATAACACGGTAGAAGGTCGTGATCTACGTACAGTTTCGTCGTGTCTGCGTTGTTTTTAATAATACATCGTTTGTCTTTTTAATAAAGTGGCAAGTTTTTAATCTTGAAATAGTCTGAAATTTAAAATAATTTTGAAATAAATGAAACTTGTTGAAACGACTTTAATTATTTGAAACTAACGTAACTTTTCGAAGATGATAGAAAGTGTGGTAAATGAAGAGGGAAATAATCAGATTTTGCAAGTTTAACGACACCCCTATTATTAAAGGATTATTCCTTGCATATACGTTCGTGTTAACAGTTATTAATGAATACATACAAACATATATTATATCTGTATCTGTGTAATACGTGTAAATAAAGTAACATCTAAAAGTGCTTAAAATTGTCTTTTACATATGATATAATCAACTATATAATATCATGAAAGAATATTATGCAATTACTTACATTATTTTATTGTCCATTATTAGTATAACACTATTAATATGCCTTGCTTGCAGGTATTAAATTCTAGATCACTGTTTCTCAAAGTTGTTCCTACGAACTCCCAGGAATTCTTGAAACCACTGATGGGGTTGGGGACAAATTAAAATTAATTTGGGGGTGCGTGGACAACGTCAGGGGATCTACCAAAGGTTTAATAGAAAATAGAACTCATTTTTATTATTATGAAAGTTAAAAATAAATAGTAATAAATAAATTGGTAATCATTTTGACGTTCTGTAAATGTTTGTTCTAGATTAAAGTTATTGCTGGAAATGTACTGTACGAATGACGCGTATCGTTTTTCATTTTACCATAAAATGTCAGGTTATTTATCCAGAAAACTTATATTATATAATACATTTATTTAATATTTTTCCAAAACAGTGATAATTATTAGTTGTTTTTCATAATTATAAAGACTGTTCAATAACTAAAAATATATAAATAATTTATTTATTTTAATAAAAATATGTTTTTCTCTAAAAATTCAATAGATAAAATTTAAAAAAAGCTTATTAATTTTATATTTTTGTAATGTAATTTATAATCCAATTACAAATGAATTATATATTTTTTCCGTTGTCATTACATCATATCTGTTTTTTAAAAACGAGCAAGCTTTAGCTCGTAATTTCAATAAATATTACTTTAAAAATTAAATGTTTTATTTATATTTAATTTTTACGTCATTATTTAAGAAATCAAAGTTAAATTTTAAATTTTGCCATTATGTAGTGGTACACAGTTGTTCACTTGGAGTTTATATTCAAGTTTTCGCTATGAGAAGGGGTCCGTAGGCATAATATGTTTGAAAACCATTGTTTTACACAATGAAGTGTTTACTGATGTAATAGTCTCTATTTTAAGAAGCATTAATGACTTTACATCCCAAATGGGAAGTTGCATTCACTTGGTTTTAATCTTCTCATGATATAATTTATGCNGTTTTTAACAAATGAATTAAATTTTTGTACGTTTAACGTGATTCGAACTGTATCTGGACCTCATTCAAGCCTAATGGGCAAGTGCGAACCCACGACCAAGTAACTACCAGTGGTTTTATCCATTAGTAGGCTCATCTAAGAAATGATAAATTAAAATGACCACGAAATTAATCAATAAATACAAAATTGAAAAGATAAGAAATTATTATCATTGTAAACGAATTTTTATAATTTTATTGTTTAAAATAAGATTTATACTTCTAATTTCCTTTTCGATAAGTTAATCTTAAATTCCAAATACTTTTCCTCAGTTAATTACTTAATGTTAGCAATTAAATTACCTTATCTTTCTACGACAGAAATATCATTTCCTGCTACTTTTAATATAAAAATTTCTCAACTTCCTTCTCTAATTAAAACTCGACTTAAG